AGGCCGTGGTATCACTCCGGTCGAGCCGGCCCATTCGTGCCGAAGTATAGCTCTCCAACATTTAGACAATTATAAAAATAGACAATAATAAATCCACTTGTCCATTTTATATTTTAGTTTTTTTTATGTCTAAGTCGTCTGTAGGTCATGAATGTGGGTCACAGTTCAAAGAAAAAGGACTTCGGACTGAGTTCAAAATAATTTATTATCGTGTTTACTAACTTGTCACTTTAAACACATTTTTGAGGTTAAAGTAACACCCTGTGGATGTGAGTGACGTAATAATAATTTGTACAAACACTAGCAATCCAGCATATCAAACTACACTTAGTTCTTTTACATTTTCAACTTTATCTTTTAGTATTAAAGTTGAAAATGGATTGAAGTAATTTGATTGAGTAGAGAAGTATGATATGCGGGTGTCGGCACAAATGAAAAATATATATATATACTTCTTATTCTGTTTGAAAATATACAAAGTTTTGTCACATAATTTGTTCAATAAATAAACTTTTCAGTTTCGTTTTCTTTTTTTAATGACACAGTATTTATTTTTTGTGATCTCCCTTGGTGATTTATTGTATTATTTTATTTCTTTTAGTTTAACTTGTTGAGTACCGTAGACACAATTATAGAACAATAGGTTGCGGTCACCGGTGACCGCTTGGTGTTTGACAGTTTAATAGAATTTGGTTGGAAGTTGGAACGCCTACAAACCATGTTCATTTCAAATTGCTTGGTGTCTTACTAGATTATTTAATTATAGTTTCTACGACTGTTTTAAATTATTTCACAGGTATTGTACTTATATGTTACTTTATTGCAAATGATGACGAATAAATAAATAATATCTGGTTGAAGACATAAGCTCATTGTCATTAGATATTATAGTATGAGATATACCTACTTCTTCGCTTCCCAGGTGGTACAGGAACCGTTGCTAGTCACCAAAAATGTAGTAAATCAATACATAGTATAAAACAAAGTCGCTTTCGCTGTATGTCGGTATGTATGCTTAGATCTTTAAAACTACGCAACGGATTTTGATGCGGTTTTTTTTAATAGATAGAGTGATTCTTAAGGAAGGTTTGTGTGTATATACATATTGCACCCGTGCGAAGCCGGGGCGGGTCGCTAGTTATGTAAATATAATTATAGTGTTCTATTAGCGTTCTAGTGTTCTATTATATTGTTCATCATGCCCTCTAGTCCTGTTCATAGTTTTATGCCGTATCAAACATCCACGTCCATTTTCCATCAATACATAGTATAAAACAAAGTCGCTTTCGCTGTATGTCCGTATGTATGCTTAGATCTTTAAAACTACGCAACGGATTTTGATGCGGTTTTTTTTAATAGATAGAGTGATTCTTAAGGAAGGTTTGTATGTATATACATATTGCACCCGTGCGAAGCCGGGGCGGGTCGCTAGTAATACATAACATAACGCCTTTTATCCCGGAAGGTGTAAGCAGAGGTTCACATTACGGCTCTTAATGCCACTGTACAATGTAACACCAACTTTTCACTATTTATGTTATGAGTTCCATGTAAGAGGGAGTGAGCCTATTGCCATAATTACCGGGCACATTTCCAGACTCCGTGCTACTACTGAGAATGTTTACCCAGTAATACTTCGTCCGATCCGGGAATCAAACCCGAGACCCCTTGCCCTGCAGTCGAGCTTACGACCACTCGGCCAACGAGGCAGCATTTTCCATAATAATCAACTTGAAACTCTATGGTGCGAATAAGACAGCTATAACTCCAAAAGTTAAAACGACTACAGCTATTAATTACAAAACAAATTTGGCGGCTAACTTACAAGATCAGGTGGTCATTACCGCGCACTGGCATCGAACCTAGCCTCCAGTGTTGGACAGTTGCCAAATCTTACCACATGCCTCCGTTGCACTGGATTGTACTCACTCTAGAAGTAGTTTTATCTTTATGTAATTTTTGGTCTTAGGTTTAGATTTTTATCTTCACTTATTTATGCTATTTAGTCTCCCTGGTTTATCAATTACTTAAAAGCGGGACTGCCTCGTTGTCTGAGTAATCGTAGTAGCACGGAGTCTATCGCGGAGAACCTAACGGGTAGCCGGGGCTCCGGCTAGACGTGCAGGAGTAGGAACGGGGTGGTTTTTAGTCAGTAAGAGTCTGACACTCCCTCCCGCCTCACCCAGGCGGGAGCAGTCATTCGATGATTTTCCCCCCTTAAAAAAAAATAGCACGGAGTCTGGAAATGTGCTCAGTATACGGCAATAGGCTCACCCCCATGGGACTCATAACATAAATAGTGAAAAGTGGGTGTTACTTCTGTGTGCACCTCTGCCTACCCCTTCGGGGATAAAAGACGTGATGTTATGTTATATATTAAAAGCGTGACTGTAAAATATGTATTGGCATAATTTTCTTTGTAGATATTGTAACTGAGTTTGTTCTAGTAATGTAATTGATGTCATATCTACACCAAATATAATCATTTATGCAGAAGTTTCAAACGTTATACTGAAAAAGAAACTATATTTCGATACTTTTTGAACAGTCCAATGGTCTAAAAAGGCTCTAGTTAACCTTCCTGTGATATGCCCTAGCTAAATCTTTGATATTCATAAATTAATCTCATACTACGTCTTGTCAAAAACTTTGGAAATGCTAAACTATACTTTTCTCATCTTCTATTGCAGAAATAAATTCACTTGTTTCACTTGATTCTCAATGCAATACGTGACAGTATTAAATACAAAATAAAGATAAAGACTGCACTAACATAAATTCAGCAATGCATTCTGTTCACAAACAACACAATGTATCCACAATTTTCTATCTAATTAAACTCCACAATCCACGCTTCTCGAATCAAAATGTAAAATGGTAACTGTACCACTAAAAATTCATAGATACACACATTCAGTCTAGACTTTGAAACGTCTAGACATAACGTACGTTTGTTGTATCTAATTTAAAATGTATTTTATGCATGTCTAAATCTTAGTTCCTTCGTTTGTCTTGCTACAATGTGTACATTTAGTTGGCGAGTGTCCAACTTGTCTAGAACGGTCAAGGTATTACCCGATACTGCGTTTTGGGATATAATAGTGTTGAGAAAGCGTAAAATTGAGTCTGAACTTGTTAATGAAGTGTAAACTGACTTTATCCTTTAGGTGAAAAGCAACTTTAGAATGTGTTATGATAATGGGATCAGTTCGAATATGATTAGTTTCTTTGTTATAAATATCACATTGTATCTGGTTGTTGTTATATTGTTCCAATTTTGAAAGAATTGTGTCTCAGGTAATCGTTGTGTTACCAGCGTACTTAGGATTGTAATTCACCAAATAATACTTACTGTACTTCAGTATAATTACATTGAAAGCTTACTATAAAATTAGGTGTTGTAGTATGTTTTGTTCACTATCATAATGCCTTTCACAAAAAATAGAAGACAGAGTACTCATTATGAAGCACACCAAACATCGGTCACACTACCAATCATCCCCCAACCATGCACTTACGAGCACAAAAACACGGACCCGCAAAAAACAAAGATTCCTAATAACTCCCTAATATATAGGTTCCCTTGAGAAAACAGAAGCGGCCAAGTTATTTATTCTGCTTTGAAGGAAACACTCGGTTCTTGGCAGATCTTAGCAAATATTTCCTTCATTGTAAGGACGCTTTCAGACGTCTCCGAGTGCCGGTGAAATGGTCCGTGTCGCTGCTTAGTTCTCATTGCAGTTGACTTGCTTGTGTTTGTAGATTGTGTGGTGTAGTCTTAAGGAAATTATTTGTGTTACATCGGAAGGAGAGATAAATTATTTAGAGATAATTATTGTTAGATCTTGAGGTTTTTTAAGTAGATAGTTTTTAACTAAAAATCGCGGGTTACTCACGTGAATATACTGTGAAAGCTCTACTAGATTCGAACCACAGCACAGCACAGAGGGGTTCTTCCTAATAGTAGGCAGCGCACACTGCTTATGAGGAAGAACCCCTCTGTGGTTCGAAACCAGTAGAGCTTTTCTCAATATATTCACTTGAGTAATCCGCGATTTTTAGTTAATTTAGTATGTCTCACGATAGTTATTATAAAAATATATGTATAGTTATTGTTTCATAGGTATCTGTATTGTAGTTATCTACTTATTTCAGTAACATGCATACTTTGGTGCAATTATTCTGATAACGTGAAGTGTCTCTTGAACTTCATAATTATCTTTTTAGATACGAAAAATACAAACAAAAAACTGCTTGGTTACCACAACAAACCGGAATTTTAAACCCAATGCGGCATGTCATTTATTTATTCACCCAAAATTAGGGTCGGTCCCGTGTGTGCGGTCCCTATACAAATATTCCTGCTTTGATTCGCCAATAGCTGGACGTCTTCCAAGACGGAAGCCGGACGGATTTTCTCACTGTATTGGTTCCTTCCTATGACGTCACCACTTGTTTTAAAATGTCATTGGCTGAGAGTATCGACCGAGAATGCAGAATGAGGCCGCACTCTTATCTCCTTGGTTTTGCTTTAATGAATAAAATAGTTCTATCTGATCTGGTTTAAAGCAGTTCTGTGGCTTGCTTTGACTGGTTTTAGCTTGAATTCCTTGTAAAATGTCGTGGTTCCGTATTTTACTTGAATTCGATTTAACTAATGATGTATTTTATGCTATAGCTATGGTACTTGAGCCATCATCACATGAAAACATTTGATTTCAATAAAATTTTATTATGATAACGACAATCAAGTGTTTCGATTCGCAGTCCTAACAGAGTAATTGGGTGCTTTCAGATTTTGAACTCTATGAATTGCCACATAAAGTTTGAAATGGTGTTTGACAAAATTTATTGTAGCAATAGGTTCAGTTCCTATTACGTTGAACTTTATTTCGAAAAATATTGAAAACATGATATTATGTATGTTACTGTACATGTTCTAGTGTATTGGTATAATTGAGAATCACGTATCAATAAAATAAATTATATTTTATTTTCAGAGTCGACTTCAGAAACGGCCCGCCAGTCCACTGGGCAGTAGCTGGAGAATTCGGAGCTCGAACTCACTTCGTTCTCAACGAGTCTGATCCATCATCAGCTCACTTGGTGGTGGAGAAGGTGGCTCGTCAGGATGAAGGAGTGTATAGGTGTAGAATAGATTATGTTGACGCACCTACTAGAAATTATAGAGTCAATTTGACAGTTATAGGTAAGTGTTGACTTTTTTTATTTGTGATGCCATGTAGATTTTCCAATATCCTTTCTAATATTTATTTTTCGTCCCAAATTATAATTTAGAAGTCTACTGTTGATTTTTAACCACAGGTGTTTTTAAGGGGGTAAATCATCCAATGTCTCCTACTGTCTATGTGAGACGAGAGGAAGTGACTGAAAACCTTCTCAAAGTTAGAGTTTGTATTCCTTACAGGTTCTGACTATAACCTTAAAATACTAGCTCGGATGAAAATTATTATTACTGCAATTATGAAGAGCTGTTCTTATACTTCACTCTACGCCAGTTATGGTGTCAGTCTAATCCTATAAACACTTAAATCAATTCGGAAATGGAATTCAACATATCATGCTTGGTAGTGGCAATTCATGTTTTCAAACCACTCTGGTCTCACTATCCCCCTTATTTTGTTACCAACAATATTGACACAAACTAAATTGATGGTTTCTCTTTCAGTTCCCCCAGAAGCCCCTCGGATATATGATTATGAGGGTACTGAGATCTTGGGGTCTGTTGCTGGGCCCTTCAGGGAGGGACAGAATTTGTTGCTGTCTTGCCAGGCAGCTGGAGGTAACATATTTGTTTATACAATGATTACTAAAAAAGATTTAAAAGATTACATAAATGGCTAATTGAATACATTTTTTTTAGTCTTAAGGTATTCATTCCTTAAGACTAGATTGTAAGTTTTAATTTTTTTAACGAGCCCCTAGTTTGTAAGAGAGATATAACCTCATTATTTTAAATTTGCATGCTAATTTTTAAGCAAAACACGTGAACCTTAATTAAGTTTTTAGACCTTCGTATAACATGTTTTTGAGCAAGTTAATAAAAGACTGCATAACATCGTTTGTTAAGGACATTATTGCAGTCTTGTTTTAACAATAGCTTTAACTATGGAGTTATTCTTACACTTCTATAATGCGGTCCGTCACCAGTGAGACATTAAGCAGTAGGTTTGTCTATAAATAATGTATGTACGTTTTGACGTACTTCACCTTTTTCAGGTAAACCGCCCCCAGACGTGTCCTGGTATAAAGGCGATGAGAGACTAGCATACACGAAAGAAGGTTCCGTCTCCCAGCTGCATCTGCCCAATCTATCCAGAGAGATGACTGGTACCAAGCTGCAGTGTCGTGTGGAACCTCCATTGCTGCAGCCACAGTCCAGAGAAGTTACTTTAAGATTATATTGTGAGTGTTTAGGGTACATTGGGATTGATTTGAAGATGAATTAAATTTCAAAAGTCGTAGGAAGATGTTCAGCTTATGTTGGAATACCACCCTTCGTCTTATTTTTTTTATGGCATAAGCCGGTAAACTTGCAGACGGATTACCTGATGGTAAGCAATCGGCGTCGCCCATTGACACCTGGAACACTAGAGGCGTTACAAGTTACTGGCCTTTTGGGGATCAGGAGTTTGAGGATCGTTGGGGATTCAGGAATTGGGGAGATTGGAGGAGGGGAGGGTAATTGGGCCTCCGGTAACCTCACTCACACGACGAAACACAACGCAAGCGTTGTTTCACGTCGGTTTTCTGTGAGGCTGTGGTATCACTCCGGTCGAGCCGGCCCATTCGTGCCGAAGCATAGCTCTCCCACACTTGAATTTGATGGATTTGATGTTCATAATGTTGGGATAATGTATGATAAACACTAAGTAATTGGGAATAAAAGCAGATAAGCAAATATGTATAAAAATATATAATTATAGAAAAAGAAATATTCGGAATCGCAAATTTTTATACTGCTTCGGTTCTAGAATAAATCATGACTTTGGGTGATCTTTGGGCGGATATGTATATACTAGAAGAAAGTAATCGTTTAATGAAGTTGTGGATGTGGAGCCAGGCTCATCGTGACTATCATTATGCTCAATTTTGTTTGTTCTGCAGTAAAACCTCAATACATTCGAGTGACTGGCAGTGGGTCCACTAGAGCTGGCATGGATAAATCCTTCGTATGCACGACGCGAGGTTCGAAGCCAGCCCCGAACATTGAGTGGTTCATTAACTCACAGCTTGTAGATTCCACATTGACACAAGTAAGTATTGATAAAAAGTACCTACTTATCTAATTCTATTCCAGAAAATATTCAAAAAAGTAAATAATGCATTTTGGACTCCAATTACACATTAATAAGCAACGAAATCCCCTATTTTTAGGCGTCATTACGTTGATATTTCATAAACAAGTCTCTATTGCACTATTGTGATTATAAAACTGCCTGCCTGCTCAAGGATTGCCTCATTGGCAGGGTGGTCGCAAGTGCAACTGTCGGGCAAGGGGTCTCGGGTTCGATTCCCGGGTCGGGCAAAGTATTACTGGGTATTTAAAAATCTCAGAAGTAACACAGGGTCTGGAAATGTGCCCGGTATATGGCAATAGGTTCACCCCCTATTACATGGAACTCATAACATAAATAGTGAAAAGTGAAAAGTTCCATTGCACAGTGGCATTAAGTGCCGCAATGTGCACCTCTACCTACCCCATTGGGTATAAAAAGGCGAGATATTATGATGTTATGTATGTGATCATAAAAGTAATCGCGATTCATAAATTAGGGCAAAAGGTCTTGGTTTAAGTGCCTAACGTTTAAATATAGTGCAGACCAACCATCTGCACTAATCAATTTAATATGCCAGTACCTTCATTTAAGTGGATCTTTTTACCAGGTGGAAGTAGATGGGGAAGTAACGAAGAGTGTGCTGACGTGGCATGTACGTCGAGAGGACAGCGGGAGACAGCTGACCTGCCGCGTCTCCAACCCCTGGTTCCCAGCACATACGCTGGAGGATTCAGTCACCTTGGATGTCATGTGTGAGTAGATTATTATATAGTCATATTTGTGTATAATTTTTAAACCGAAAATTAACAATTTTTTTAAATTTTTTCTTCTCTAAAATTCAAATTAAATATTGCAGGGAGATCAGTAATAAACAATCGAATAAAGAAGTATATGCCTAACGAATAGTTTTAATTCAATTAGTAAATTCAATTCCGAAGTAATATAAAGTCCACATATACAAAAAAAAAATCTGCGTAAAATCAAAAAGCAATAAATTCACGAAGAGCCAATACAAAACACGCGATTTACAAACACAATACAATGGCGGACAAAATAATTGACCCAGTAACAAAAACAAGTGAAAACCTACGGGCGATATATCAAATGCACACCACACACTAGATACTGGAGCGGTGGAGTTCCGGCGGTGTTTGCCGGCGGCCTGAGTCGTGTGCCAACAACTTTGTCCTCAAGTTTAAATATTATCGCGAACTAGAGGCTCCGTGTACGTTGTGATACACCGAGTGTCGCAATACGGGCTTATTATGAAGTATTTATGCTATTGTTTATAAACATAGCCGGTTGAAACTGGAATACGAGCTGGTGTTAGCATAAATTAGATTGTGGAAGTAGCTATTTAGCATTTAACGGCTAATTACTAATTTTAGAATTTTGGCTGGCTATTTGCGTTTTGTATCCGGGATTGTTTAGTTGTTTGTTATAACTTTTATGTAGTTTACAAAAGGATTTTAAACCCCTCACCCCAAGGGAATGTGGTGTGTAACACTAACTTTCGTTAGTTGTATTATTTCGGGTTAACATAATTAACACACAACGGTCACAAATTTTGTGGAAGTGCTACGACTGAAGATTAGGTTTCACTGACAATATTTAAAATGGTACTTTTTTTACTAATCACAATTATTCATATCCCAATATTTCTTATTCCTATTTATTACCACTGCCCACTTGTCGTGGTGACCCGGAGGTTTAAGACGCCCACTTCTCATGCATGAGGGTTCGGGTTCGAAACCTACCAACGGCAACCAATGTACCAATGTGACTTTTTCCGAGTTATACGACTTTCTAAGAATATCTAGACACCACTAACAAACGGTGAAGGAAAACATCGTGAGGAAACCTGGGCTTATACTTTCTAATTATAAGGTAGAAATCACCAACCCGCATTGAGCAAGCGTGGTGATTATGCTTAAACCTTCTCCGTGTGAGAAGAGGCTTTGCTCAGCAGTGGGCATGCATTTATAGGCTGTTGTTGAATGAAAACTACTGCACAAATAATTCACCAAAACCCCCTTCCTATAATGATTACCATTACTCTTGCCATACGATAGTTAAGATAAACACATTGTCTGCTTTCCGAAGCGTGGCTTATGTAATATGCATTAATACTGCGGCTATTACATTCATTAGGCTGACACACCTAATTTAGTCATACCTAATGAGGTAAATGAAGCTGTAAGCGTTCCTCAGTGAGTTGCTGCCGTTTGTGCTCGGAGATAGTTGATGCATTATACGTTGCGCTATATTAAGTAATATTCATGACATATTTGTACTATTACTGAGTTAAAGTGGATCCATCCAAGATCTTAACTAAATGTACTAAGTTATAATAAAGATAAAAATAAAATAAATAGATATATTTAAGTAGGTTTAAAGAGAATATAACTTTTACGTCTTCATTTTAAATCACTTCCATTTTATTTTATTTTTATTTGTTAGTTATATTGCACCAGATACGTATGTACTTTGATGCTATGACATGGTATGTACCTGAACTAGGTTTGGAACCCGTATCCCAGGCAATAAAATAAAATAGAAATAAATATAGAAAACTTAAGGTCTAAATTTTACTAACATTAAATTATCATTATTCAAATTGAATATTTATAATTATAGACCCAGAACCTAATCAAAAATATCATCTAAAGTTCGAAACGAGCAATAAAATCATTTTATATAACTGAGAACGAGTCATAAAATATTAAACTCGATGTGATAAAAGTACTCAACCAACAGTCCAACACCTATGGGAAAAGCAATTTAAATCTAAACGCTAAATTCAACGGCACTCAGTTTCAAAACTATCGTGACAACTCGAACAACGTAAACAAAATGTACGCTAGCAAAAACAAACTTTCCCTCTCCATTATGTTTAAAGAGAAATAGTGTGACATCATACAAACTCATAACATTAAGTTAAACATAAACGGGTTAATGCGATTACTTCAAAAACGTAAGCCACGACAAGTTTGCGTAACCAAGTTTATCTCGTCAAGTTAAAACATTATCGCTTATTGTCAAGCGAGTTAGTATTCGTGGCTTCAAGTGTATGGTGTTGGAGCCAATGTTGGGACCAACGTGGAAGTGGAGAACGTTGACGTCATATTGACGAAATATTGGTAAAAATTTAAATAGTGATAAAGCATTAATCACCTAGTAATGTGAATGTAATAGACATAGTGAATTAAATTAACAATTACAATTAAAAAAATTTATGCTGATATTCGTCTTTTAGATTATTTAAAAAATTAGACACGTATTTATTCTTGTCTTACAAAATTAATTACTTTAGACGATATATTAATTTGAAATATCGTAACGATACGACTTACTACATTAATTACACATAACTCCGTTATATCTGCGACTGCACGGTTGGTGCGATGGCTGAGCCGGCTGCCGTGCAACGTGTCGCAGGTTCAATTCCCGCACGGAACAACACTTTGTGTGATCCACAAATTGTTGTTTCGGGTCTGGGTGTCATGTGTATGTGAACTTGTATGTTTGTAAACGCACCCACGACACAGGAGATAATCCTAGTGTGGGGCAACGTCTATATAAAAAAAAAAATATCTAAGCATTCTTTTCTTATACGACAAAATACAGAGTCTAATACGTGTCTAATAATTTTTAATTATCTAACTGAAGGACTTTTAATTTTCATTCACTATCTACTACCCTATTGCATAATAAATTAAAATAATTAATGAAGTTCCATAAATATTATGTTATTCCAACAAATTAGAACACAAACATGCAATCATCCCAAACGCCGCCAACGAAATCCGAACACCAACATTGGCAGTTTGCGACCAACATGTAAACAGGGCTTCAGAATTAGCACCCAGCTTATTTAACTTTTTGAAGTTGTTACTCAACTTACACGCGTAGAGGGATGTTAAATAATTCGGTTATGATATAAACAGTTAAGTGTGAACCCTTAGGATTACTGACGGACGGATTAACTTTGACAATGATGGAATAGGGGGAAGTTATCTTTACGCTTCTTGGTAAGGAGCTGGGTAGCATTCGGAGTTGGTCAACTGTTGCCTTAGATAGGTTATCTTTTTTATGGGGTGTTTCAATAATAGGGCTTTGGGTTTCTATGTTTTCTGAGATAACCATGTTGAAGATCTTAAAAGTTTACTGTATATTAATATAACCTGTTTGTAATAATATTTTATTGTCTGCTCATTTTTGTGGCATTTTGAGTCGTGTCCTTTCGTTTCAGTCTTAGCAGGTTTATATTTTTATACCTCTATTTTTCTTGGTGTATAATTGATGTTTTTTTTTGCATATACCGTATAAGATACTTGACACTATGTTAGTAGCTACTTTCTATTGGTTTTTAAAATAATGTTCGTGAGACATACTGAAATTCCTAAAAATGATGGGTTACTCACGTGAATATACTGACAAAATATAGTGCAGGCCGTGCGTCACGACCGCGCACGCTTCTCATGAGGAAGAGTTCCTCTCTGACTTGAATCCAATAGATATTTACACAGTTTATTCACGTTACCTAGTCACCCGTCATTTTGAGTTGGTGCTTTATACGATTGTAATTACGTACCCACATAATTGTATTGCCCAATAACGAAAATAAAAAAAAACTATTTCACTAGTAAACTTAGCTGAATTGAATGAAAATGAAAACATGAAAATTAAACAATAATCCAATTCGTTCGATTAAAATATCTATTCCAATTTCATTCACACAATTTCACTGCGAACTGAAACGAACAGGGGACCATTAAAACAGGAGTTTTTATATCACACGCGGGAAATTAACAATAAAATTTCGTTACACATATTTTGAAAAACTTATTTTATGCACGTACGAAATGCAGTATTACGGGTTGCAAAACAAACAAACAACGTAATAATTGTACTGTTGCCCGAGCGCCAGGTTCGAAGTGGAGCATAGAGTTGTGGAGTGCAGACGAGACACAACTTTGAACTGTCGATATTGCTTTTGTTCAAGTTATGTGCCAAAATTTTGATGTGCTAAACTGTCCGTAAAAAAGTTCATAGAACCCGGGTTGATAAATAGACTAAAATGATTCCTTTATTCCTTTATTTCCCTTTATTGGAAAGACATTGGACAAAAACAGGCTGACGATGATGATGACATTATATCCTACAATACGTATGCTACACCAACACACAATTTACATATAGGTACAGGAATAGTTTCAAAATAAATTGATAAGTAAACTTTCTCAGCAGACAATAGGTAAATATGTAAGTATGACGTCTTCAAAACACACTATTAACAATCTTAGTCTTTGCCAAGCATTATATAGGTCCGACTTTGTCAGAGCATCCGTGCTCTGAATAAACAATTCCGTCGCTGTCTGCCCCAATAGAAATATTCACTTATCTGCACGCTTTTTGTCCTTACTGGAGCAGCAGAGCTCTAGGCGATGCTAACAATAGTCAATGTTGTGTCAGCAATACTCAATGTTGAAGGAATATAGTTATCTTTGTTTATTAGATGGTAGTTCTTTAAGTACAAATACTATATGTTACGAGACTGTCTCTTTGGAAGAGTGGTCGCAAGTGCGACTGCTGGACAAGGGGGTCTCGGGTTGGATCCCCGAGTCGGGCAAAGTAATACTGGGTTTAAAAAAATACTCAGAAGTAGCACGGAGTCTGGAATTGTGCCCAGTATATGGCAATAGACAGACCACCTATTACATGGGACTCATAACCTCGTTTAGTCAAAGAAAGTTTATTGTATATGTTTAAAGTATGTCATTTACCTCTAATATTTTGGTTGGTCATAAATACGGGTGTATTGTTTCGTTTCGGGCAATGGTTCGCATTCTGTACCTATCTATTATATATATTATATTTTGTATTCCTTACTCAAGTCAATATAAATTGTTTTTGAGAAATAAATGTCTTAAACAGCAATAACTGCGACACTAATAATTATTCAGAGCTCCTTGTCAAATAGTATTTCGGCCAACAGTATTTACAAATACCCATAAGCTTCGTTCGTTCGTAAATAATATTTCTTGTATTACAAAATTATTCTCAACTTAGGACCCTTTCAAACTACCATTAATTGAGAACCCTTAAAAGATTTCAGTATTATCGAACTTGGTAACAATACAAAGGTTATCAATCAAATTTAAAGTTTGGATTTCGAATTTAAAAAGTAGATACTTGATTGGTTTTTTAGTGAGACGCCACTTTCATGAAGATTTTTATCGAAACAATGTGATTAGGAGATTACGATATACCTTTCGTTGAAGTGAGAAATTCTTAATTGAACGATTGAAATTAGAGTAATATTTATTAGATAGGAATGTCGATCGATGTGGTGACTTAAAAGATTCATTCATTCATTACATGCCTTTTATCCCCGAAGGGTAAGGCAGAGGTCCACATTATCTACGGCACTTAATGCTACTGTACAAGGTAACACGCACTTTTCACTCTTCATGTTATGAGCCCCATGTAATAGGGGGTGAGTCTATTGCCATATACCGGGCACAATTCCAGACTCCGTGCTACTACAGAGAATTAAAAAAACCCGATAATACTTTGCTCGACCCGGGAACCAAACCCGGGACCCCTTGCCCAGCAGTCGCACTTGCGACCACTCGGCCAACGAGGCAGTCATTAATTCATTCATTTCTTTGTTTAACAATAGAAAACTTCAGGCTGAAGTTAGTTCAGGCTGAACTTATGACACAAATAAGATATGGTAATAATAAAACAGCGATTTCGATTTGAGATTTTTCAATATGTCGCAGAACACACAGTTTAATGCAGTATTATTTTACAGTTTTCAGTTACGTATCATTTCTACAAAATTAAATTATGACTACTATCCCTTGCACAATAACAAAACCAAACATCATCATCAGCCTATAAGAGCCCACTACTGAACAAAGCCTCTCTTGTCACACGGAGAAAGTTTAATCACATTAATCACCATGCTTGCTCATTGCAGGTGGGCACAATAATAATAAAATACATCGTAAAAACGTACAATTGTTCTCACAATGTTAAATGCATGCACTAGGACAATCCTGTATCGCAGGCAAGAGGAGTTCTAAATATAATTCTTACAGTACCACATTTTATTTCTATAGACACTTACACTTAACATTATACAACAGAAAACAACACAAGAACTATATATAGGATCCAAACTTCTTCATACTCATCAAAAATTTTGTTTTAGACCCACCAGTAACACAAATATCCCTGACTGAGCCAAAAGAGCCTCGTCTGCTTCGAGAAGACGAAAATGCTGAACTCCTCTGTTCAGCAGACGCGTCACCACCGGCTGTCAACTTCACATTCTATAAGGGACCAGAAGTAAGTTATTGAAAACGTTTCTAAGAAAGTTTTGTAGTAGATGTGACTACAAATGCATTATTATATTGAAGTTATAGAACTTTCCTTTCGTTTTGTTTGCTTGAGACTGTTATTGATATTATTATAATTTAGTGGTTTATTTGTGAGGGACTGTGAAGGTGGTATGAATACTCATACTCATGAGTTTTTGAATTTGTTTTCTATATTCTTCTCGGGTTAGATTTGTTTTATTTAAGAGTAAAGTTGATTAGAAATTGGAATGTTATAAATACATACAATCATAACCTAACGCCTGTCTCTCATAGGGATAGGCAGAGACTACTGAACTGTAGAATCATTGGTCTCTATACTCTCCATATATCAAAAAGAGGCAATTGAAATACTTATTAATAGGGGTTGATCTTTTGTATATAGTTTTGACATTTAGAGGTGTAATTTTACTATACTACTTATTGATAAAATAAAAATAAAACATTAGTTAAACATTCTCCAAATTATTATTAACTCTATATATTTCTATAAACACATACATTACTATAAAACAAATTATCTACAGGAACTTTAGCTTAAAGAGAACCTCAAATAAACATACAAGAAGAAGTATTTAAACAATTTTAAAACTGCAACATTATAAAGAAGAAATTCTATAAAGTTCTTAGTAAATATAATGTTAGCATGTTCATATTGTTCGTGTACTAAGTCTTTGTTGGCGTGATTCAATAATGAGTATTTAATTGTTGCTTCATGAAAATTCAATTTGTTATGCCGTCAAATAATAACTTCATAATATTGTTGAGTTTGTAGGTAAGATGGTGATTGAATTTATTTTATACACACAATTCGTGTATCTATGTAAAATCTGATTCTAATGGTTTGACTAAGAAATTCAACAATGAGTTCTTGATTTAAGAAAAGAAAGGGTCTACCCTGAAAGGAAAGGAAAGGAGAAATCCTTTCCTTTCCTTTCATTCTCTTACTAAGTAGAGACTATTGTCGATAATGTAATACGAATACCATTTTTACTAGCTTTTGCTATTAATTATGCGCAAATCTCTCTAAATCAATCTACATATGTATTTTGTTCAGTAAATATTTATTTCCCTACTATATAAGTAACAATTATTTAATATAATTAATATATAATTTTTCACACAGGTCCATCTAATAAGAGACGATCCCATAGGAGGTCTATCGATAGAAAATAACAGACTTGTCATCAGAGGGTTGAGGAGACATCACTCCACTGTGTACCGGTGTCGAGCCAGGAATTCTGAAGGCAGTGCACTCAGTGACCCGCTCACTTTGAATGTGTTATGTGAGTTTTTTTTTCAAAATAAATGACGTTTATACAATTTGCATGATCTTATGACAATATGATAAAAGTATTCCCAACTTATATTAAGCAGGTTTTTTTTTGCTTTTTAAACGAGCAGACGGATCACCTGATGGTAAGCAATCGGCGCTACCCATGGACACCCGAAACACCAAGGTGTTACGAGTACGTTACCGGCCTTTTGGAAATTGGGAATTTGAAGATTGTGGAGGATACGGGGATTCGGGAGACTAGGTAGTCTAGGGAGGCGGGTAATAGGGCCTCCGGTAACCTCACTCACACGACGAAACACAACGTAAGCGTTGTTGTTTTCTGTGAAGTCGTGGTATCACTCCGGTCGAGCCGGCCCATTCGTGCCGAAGCATGGCTCTCCCACACTTATTTGTATTTCATGGGCCGACGTTTGGCCACTATCTCGTCTGGTGATAAGCGACGATGGGGCCTACAATGGAGCACGTGTGCCCATACCCATGAGTAACCTATTCACTCAGTACCACTTACATTGACTGCTGCAGAAAACTAAATCTTTAAACTATTCAAATTCCGTTACGTTGTTTCTATGTAGACTTTTTACATTTCAACTTTTTTATTCTCTCTATCATTTCAATTGACTTGTAACTACTTCACGCACTCATTTCGAATGGCATCCTTACCACCTTCCTTTTTTATATAGCACGGCCAGAATGTGCAGCTGGTAATGTAGTCCAGCAGTTAGCAGGAGCACCTGGAGGTGAAGTCAGGGCAAGATGCTCGGTGACTGCACCAGCGAGCCGAGACGCTGGTCCACTGAGGTTCTACTGGACTTACAATGGAACTAAAGATGTGTTGCCGGTATGGTATATGAGAAAGTATTTTCATATATATATATTCCATCAATCAAGGAAAAATTCGACCGAGTTAATGTTCATATAGATGCATCTATTACTTATTTAGTTTTTCGACACAGAGACCAACAGAAACCGCATTTAATAATTAAGTTCTTTTTTAACTTTTAACATAGTTCTAATTTTAGAGTCTATCTACAAGTTGCATAGATATAAACTAAACTAAATTGTCCATGTCTATAGATACCAGCAGCTAACGTGACAGTGATGGGTTCTACCAGCACAGTGATCCATGGTCTACACTCCGATGTAGATGAGGATTTGGGCTGGTTGGCGTGTTGGGCAAGCAATGATGTCGGGAATCAGCGGGAGCCATGCCTGTTCAGGATCTTACCAGCTGGTAATATTTAGCTCTTAGTGTTAACCTTGCAAGTCTGAAACCACTGCAATTGTTTTTTTTTAAGAAATTCCCAGTTTTTTTGGAGCATGACTATCTATGCTCAGATTTATTTTAACTTACACCTACATACTTACAATTAAACTTATTTCATCACCTATCCATGCATGGAAATTCATGTCACCTCATCTCCCCAGCGCTCCCTGAACCACCAAGCAATTGCGAGATAGAGAACGAGCTGCTTCACTGCGAACCAGGTCATGATGGTGGTCTTCCTCAGCGGTTCCTTCTAGAAGCTTTGGAGGTACGGCATCGCGCTGAAACCGCGCGAGAAGACAATGAGATCTCCACGATGAATGATCAGGTGAGCGCGGCGTGGCTGTGGTGCCGTGCTAACTAAATGTGGACCTTCGCATCCCTATGTGTCTTCAGCTCTTCGGCTAATAGGAGTTCTTCTGCTCCTTTAATGGAACAGTCTAATTATAAATCTTTGTTATGGCTTCTTAAGACCACATCCTTCTAAAATAGCAACTCATTTACTATTACAATCATATTGAACAAATTGCATGATATTGTACTTTTAAACTAATCTTTGTTCGACGAGATTAAAAAGATTTTCCAATTTATTGCACGATTGGCCTAATCGTCTACACGAAATTATTCTAATTAATTATTTGTCCAATGCCAATAGTTGTCCTTAACCCATGTCTTGTGATAAAAATTCCAGGTTTCAACGGTTAATAAGAAAAAAAATATATTTATCTGTGTCACAAAAGGTTGATATTAAAATTCCAACTAATTAAATATTATCATGAATGAAAGAACAAAGGATGCGTTGAATAAAATATAATGTAAATATTATGTTTTAAAACTAGTGGAGAGCAAAAAGATCTCCCGTGTATAACAATGATCACATTTTTTCCTAGTTGAACTTTTTCTAGACATGCAGTTATTTTTTTTATTCTAACTTTAAAAATAGTGTAAAATTCACACAGTTTACTTTGTGCTAGAACGATGAATTCTGTTTGGTTGGCTTCAAATTTGGAAAAAAAATGAAAAAATGGACCAGTTACTGTCCTCTATAGATTTGTATGAACCATTCTGTTAAATCATTTTTCAACTATTTTTTGTTTCATTCGATCACAGTTATTACAGATATTTCTATTGTTTCGTCTGCATGTTGTTTTTTCTAACATTCGTTATTTTATGTATTTAATTATTTAATTGTTATTGTTAAATGTATTTATATTAATGTTGATTTCTAATATATTTAGAATAAAAAGTTTTTGATAGGTTTTGTGATCTGTTGTTGGAACTTTCAATGCTGCTTTAAAATAAATTACCTTTTTTTATGACAGAATTTATACTATTCTGCGTCTAAATATATTTCAATGTTAAAAAAAAAACAAGCTACATCCTATAATCTGATTAAAAGATAACTTGGATTCATTTTAACATCAATATTATGAATAAAGTAATAATGAAGCTGCCATCTTCATTGTTTTTGAATAATCCTGTTTATACGACGGCCTTTAAAATATCATATTACTGTAGCAAACAACCCATTCAACAAAAACATAATGTATGACTGCAGTAACAATACATAAGTATTCTTTGGAAAACATAATGCCGTTATAATATAGGCACAACGTCTTTAAAAAGAATATCATAAAGTGAAATCTTATTGATAAAAGATATATTGTTATCTAAACGGATTAATATTTTGCATCAATTATAATAAAACTCTAACAATAAGTTTTTCTTTTTCTTGTTTTTTAATGTAATAACTCGTATTCCAAGTACATTTTTCTGGTCTCAGGGAATATCAGCCTTTGGATTAACTGAAGCTGTGTATCGTGTCAGAAACGACAAGCCTCAGTTCGCTCTAGATGCTTTGTCTCCTGGGAAGTATACATTGCTGGTTTACGCTGAAACTCCTCGTGGAAGATCACAAAGACCTGCCGCATTGCACAGCGTACAGATACGAACTGCTGATGACTTGGATAGACCTGGTGAGTACAAATTGTTCTCTTTCGTCATTTTGTGTACCTTTTGAAAATTAATGTCCTGGTCCAAGTTTGAAAATGTACAAATCTCATCTATGACTAGGTAATTTCGTTGTCCGATTAGTTGATCTGGACAAAAATTGTCTTGATCAAGCTGAATAGTGTGTCTTCTATGAATTTTCTTTTATAAATCTGATTTCCTTTTTGATTTTCACCCCACATTATAATTATTTATACTACTGAAGTCTCAAATAATCTGACGTGTTCTAGATAAAACAAACAAACAATGCCGTAACTTATGGTGTACCAAAAATTTCACTTATCTATTATTTGTTGACTTCAAAATCACTAATTTTACCAGGTTCTCTCCAAACGATGACACCAGCACCTCCCCCGCAGCCACCAACTACTGACAACAGTGTGGCACTACTGGTCGGAGCTGCACTGTCTCTAGTACTACTGACTATCCTCACTACTCTGTGTGTCGCTATGATAGTCATGTGCAAGAAGAAGAGTAGACCGAGGGATCCAGAACAGAGGTAAACAAGGATTCATTAGAACTACCGGACTAACCGTCGTACTCAGAGTCATTTAATGGCTACTTACCAGTCCTACCTACCCAGTCCTTAGCAATTTTTTCTGAACAAAATCGTTACTAAGGAATAGTTTAAGTAATCTGAGTACGGCAATAAAACACTTTTAAGTCATCATAAAGACATCGCTTCATTATTTGGATTCAAAATATCAAACATCGCATGAGTTTAATGAGTTACGATTAAAATTGGTGAAGGTAAGTATTTTTCAGGTAATGATCTTGGATTCAGCCAAGGCATAGTTTGAACATAACATAACATCACGCCTTTTATCCCGAAGGGGTAGGCAGAGGTGCACATTATTCCACTGGACAATGTAACACCCACTTTTCACTATTTATGTTACGAGTCCCATGTAATAGGGGGTGAGCCTATTGCCATATACCGGGCACAATTCCAGACTCCGTGCTACGACTGAGAATTTTTTTAAAAACCCAGTAATACTTTGCCCGACCCGGAAATCGAACCCGAGACTCCTTGCTCGGCAGTCGCACTTGCGACCACTCGGCCAACGAGGCAGTCGAGGCATAGTTTGAAACCCAGCATTAAAATTGTTGCCTGATGCAAAGTCTATTAAAATAAGAATAATGATTTAAAAATTACCATTTACTTTATGTTACTACCTTTAGCACAATACTTAGAAGAAACGTAGGGGTATCCATGTATGGTGGTGGATCTACCATTTCTTCCAACGTGATGCCCACAGTTGTGGTGAGAGGCCACAGAGGCTCCAGGGTCCTGGCTGCGAGGTGGTCAGGAGTGCTTGATGATGCTCCACTTGCTGTACTGGCTCTAGACACCAGGCCTCATGGTAAGAACTGTAACAATTAAAATATCTAAGAATAATTGTTATAGAAGTCTACTTGTAAAAAATAAATTTCCACTCATACATGATTTTATTAAATTGTTGTTAGAGGAAAATGATTGAGCGTTCGGTTTCCGATATGGACAAAGTATTGTGCAGATGTTAAGCTCCTAAAATAGGGTAGTTTGTTAAATTTTATTTTAATATCCATCTGGTAGATTAATTTGAAATATTAAACCTGTATTTTTAAAAAAAAATTGATTACGATACGATATATTAATTTGAAATATCGTGTGACGTCCTACATTTTGTAGCATGTTGTGATGTAATGACTTCCCACTCCTAAACTTAACGCCATTTTATCTAAGTATTGTAACTTTATATGAGAAAATCTATACTAATATTATAAAGCCGAAGAGTTTGTTTGTTTGTTTGAACGCGCTAATCTCCGTAACAACAAGTCTGATTTGAATAATTCTTCTTGTGTTGGATAGCGCATTTATCGAGGATGGCTATAGGCTATAAAACATCACGTTACGACCAATAGGAGCTAAGCAGAGTGCGTGAAACCGCGCGGAAGTAGCTATATTAAATATCTTAATAACTTACTAACTAGATTTTTAATTTTCATACTCTGGCAACTACCCTATTCTCAGTAACGGAGTAGAAAATTCTCAGTGATTTGTATGACAGTAGAGTCAGTCATCCATTGTTACATGGCTTATAATTTATAACATAACAACCTGGTACGTCTGGGAAATATAAGCTATATTATTTTAAGTTAAGAATACCCAAGTCTTCTAGTACTACAAAATAATTGCAAGTCTTAAAATGAACCTGTGTACTAGCCACTTAATATATGCACATATCTGGGGATGCAAGCTGCGGCTAGCATCGACTTACACCGACTACGTAGCTTTACTACATATGTAGAAATAGAAGTTATACCCTTTGTAGAAGACTTCGTACTGTTGTAGAAATTAATTTGGAATATATTTTGGTACTGCGAAGTATTAATTTTGTATCAAAGTGGTGATGGTATGATTTGATTTAGGTATTGCACAATTGATTTCTTTATGAGTTTTCTTTTTCAAATTTTAAGCATTTTAATCATAAAAAGATGTAGATAGGCCTCATTTATGTACATACATATACACTTGGCTCAATTCTAGATTCTGTGCTATTACTGACCTATATGGCGGCCATTTTTGACATTAAAGTAAAGGTAAAGACAAAGAGCAGTGAACATAAAATACGAGAAAAACGCTCAAAAAAGTTGACGTGCATATTGTAAGTGATAAATGTATGTGGATAAAGATTTGAACCATAAATAATATGACATTAGGATTAAATTGTCATTGAAAAACCTAAGACTAAATGTATTTGGAATTGTAGGTAATATATGTCTTATTTGTTTATCAATAAATTTAAACGTTTCTAATATAAATTACCAAAGTCCTTTAACAGTTAAACTACTTGAACCTAAAGTCCATTGTACCTTTCATAAAACAAATTATGAAGTAAATTTTAATTAAATTATTATTAAAATGATACTTTTTGCGCAATAGTTTGTAAACTTTCTCATTCGATTCAAATTTTAATTGCATTCCTTGGAGACTATCGTGTTATTTGAAGAATTTATTTTCTAAAATATGACATGTATTTGTGATTTAGTTTCAAAGAGATATTCTTTTATTAATTTATTTTAGACTTGTGACGCCACCATAATCACAGTGATAGTATTAACTCGGTTTTTTATTAACGTTAACGTTTGTTGATTTATTAAACTCAATTGCGCTATGCTCACTTTTGTAATGAGCTTTAAAATGGTCTAAATTTGTTCAGTGTACAAATCTCCTCAAGCAATTAAACATATCGAAATATAATGATTGTAGAAACGAAACGATAAGTATGCTGTTTAGTATTCTTGAGAAGAATAATGCTGTATATTTTGCAGGTGACTCAGATTTAAGTCGAAGTGAAGACGACATACAAGAGACTGAACTGACGAGAAACGAATTAGAAACACGCACTTAATATATTGTATAATTGTATATATAATTTATATAAAATATCTTGAGAAGGTCTTGTATTAGTGTTGTATAATAAGATAAATGTAATGATTGATGAAAGATCAAACAACGCTAAATGTATTCAAGAAAGTAATGTCGGTGATTACAAATAATAATGAATCAATGTGTTGTATTTATTGTAATAATGGCATAGAGTGAGTTACATGGAAAGTATAATTATAAAAATAAATTAGTTAGGGATAAGTACCTACGCAAAAACAACGCTTTAAAATTTGAATTATAGAGATATATTCAATTAATATTAAAGATTGAACTGCACTATAAATCATTATTGATGAAATAGTTTATTTATACATATATAAAAACAGTTGAAGAATTTTTTGAAAGACACAAATCATGTCATTTCAATAATAGTCTTATTTTACTCTTATAAATATGACAAGTTGCTGTATCGCACTATATGAAATATACTTATTTCATAAAAGGGAACTGTAGCGATAAGACATGCGTTACCGGAATAATGACCAAGATATCACACTTTATGATAAATCGTGGAAGATTTATTATTCCGAGGGAATTTACTGCATCATGCACTCTGAGGACTCACGTATGGCGATTTTTCATGAGCTCACTGCTCGCTATTATGGATATATTTCAAAGAAAAATTACTACAGTTGCATTTAAATCCACTAGAAATAGCCACTTCATTGTAGAGACTTTATAACATTGTTAACCTATTTTACATTTACATGACTTTATTATATTATCCAATTGATTTCAAAGTTATCTTATAGTTTTCGTATCATGAAGGCTTACTCCAATATCTAACTCGGCGTAATGGTTACAGAAAAAGAAAAGAATTCGCGTAACATTCTCTATAAATGACTCCAACATGAAATATACCCATAAATCCGAACAATATCACTTTATATCTTGCTTTGCCGAGCCTGACGCAGGCTTTTAGAGCCAAAAAGTACCATAAATTGTAGGCACTCTACAGTTTCGCTGTACAATAAGATTATTATGTATGGAAAGCACGATCATTCTACCAAGTAGGTACTTACTAAGACGACAGCTGATCATCTATGTTACAACCCTGTCATAATATATCTAACTAAAATCACAATACGTGAGCTCATAATAGAATATGATACGTTATAATATTTCTAGCATAATAAATTGCACACAATTTATCAAGATGAACAATGCCTTAGAAAACGTAATATAATTTTTGCGTCTTATTGAATTTCATAAGAAAGAATATCTATTATTACTATTATGAATATAACATAAAATGTCACTGAATATAATAATGTGAATAATTATTATTCAAAATGATGTATTTTATAGTGTAAGGATTAAGATTTATGACAATTTTAAGTATATAATTTGAAAATAGTGCTTCGAAAATAAGATTACGTCTTTAGAATCACGTTTTGATATTTATTTATGTTGGATAAAATTGTATTTTTATAAGTGATTATATAAATTGTATAAATGTATTGTATGTATGACTCAGTATTATTTAAATAGTGGTACAGTTTTATATGTAGCATTAGCGATTAATTGAAATGTGTTTGAGAAGAAGTGTATAAAAATATTTAGTAATTATTAGAAGTCAAAATTATTTAAAGCTCTTTAGCATTCATCGGCTTACCTGTGTTAGTATTGTATCGATTGATAAAGTATTTAAATCAAGATAAAATTTTGTAGCAATTAACATAAAAATATTTCATAAATTACTTAGAAAAAGTAGTGTTAGAGTCAATTTTGTGAAGGGCATTTACCAAAAATGTATTATAATATATTATAATTATAAAGATAATTTTACATTAAATAATTTAGCTGCCATATTTATATGTTACGGGTATTAAGGTGTAGATAAAGCGTAGCCTTATTCTTCCATAATAAATATTTCATTTAATTTTAATTATTTAGTTGAAATAGTTTTTGTAGTCATCATCTCACCGATTTGTTTAGTTTAGTAAAAAAGTATGGTATATTTTGCATTCGATCTAAAAGGACTTTACTATTTTCTTAAAAAATCTATTAATGATCATGGCATCGCATAAAAGTATCTTAAAACAACATAAAGATTTTTTAAATTACCTATATCAATTGATTTGATATCTTGATTATGTCTAGTGTTAAATATAAAAAACCAAATTTCATAAAATCTGTCAATTTATTTATAGCTCTTCCTTACCCCATTTGGACACTAACTTCAAAACCAAACTATCGATAAAACACCAAAAAACGCATTTCACATCACTAGCGCAAAACACCGAGCGACGGATAACAGTGGGTAACATGAAATCGAAGTGTCGCAACTTGGAACCGGTGTATCAATTTGCTTAACAAACAAAGTAGCCCACTGTGCGCTAACTGACACTGGATTGACTATTCGTAGTTATGTGGGATAGAGATAGAGAGAGAAACTGTAGAAGAGTAATAGAGATGTCTACCAATGTCTATATTGGGACAAATTGTACGTTTGTTGCGGAAATTTGTAGTGAAAACTGAGAGTAAAATCTCTTACAATCAGTTCAGTGGCTAATATTATGTCAGCTGTATATTAGCTGTCATTTTTATGTCATATATTTGTAAGAAATAATTATATATGTACAAGACGTGTACGTTAATTATGCGCAAGTATGAAACTGAACCTTTTGTGTCTTTATCTAGTTTACTTAACTTTTTTAATTAATATAATTGAAGTCAGAGTCAAAATATAAGCGATTGATGCAAAATATTATCATACTTTTTCTTTATCATACCTACTTAGTTCCTTTACAATGATTTGTATGACACAGGAAAAATTCGATGGTAAATTTAATTTTATGTAAAAGTTTCTGTCGATAAATTTTATCGATATTATAATTATTTTATTTGTCAGCCCTAGTAATTGTTACAATGAGTGTCATGCAAATCATTTTATGATGAACAGACAATAGTTACTATGTTATTTCATAATAAATCAATGTGTATTATGTATGTATGTAGTTGTTAGAAAGTACATGCTAATTTAAGACCAAAGAACAAGTTACAAAGATTAAGTTTTAAATACAAATAGATTTGTATTATAAAATACTTTATGTTGTAATAGAAATAAGGTTTAAATTTGTAGACTATGCAATTCTTTAAAAGCTTCGATTAATGGATTTGTAATCAATCAAAATTAGAAGTTATAAAGTCTACTTCACCACTTCCGACAAAATATCTGTAAGCGTTCCTGACGCATTATTGACGAATCTTATAAATAATGGAAGATACATCCAATTTTTCTTCACTAACTTGGGCAGATATGGTCTTAAAAGAGATTCAAAATAAAAAATGTTTTATTCGTCTTGTGATAAAGTACAAAATTATTTGTAGAGCTCTTTTGAAAACTTTGTTGTTAATTCTTTTTGTCATATTGATACCAGTGCACACATTGATACGATATATTAATATGTTTCTAAAAATATTCTTATAAGATATTTTCAAATCAAATTCAATAAATCGTTTTAAGCTTTAACCTCCTATAGATATCAGATATGATAACGCCAAACAATAAAATAATAAATATGATTTATATTGTCTGCAGTCTTAAAAAGTTTATCACAGAGCTTTTAGGAATATAGACATGATAGTACCATCGAATGGGTATATTATATTGTGTAGGCTTATATGCGATTAAGTACACTATGTTTAAATTCATGAATAAAATTATGTCCATGTCAATTTTGTTTTATGTTCCTTTCTACGTGTGAAAATTGGCTTTTCTTGACGTCATGTAAATTTATTTAGGGACTTATGCCATAAATGCCACATCTATCAATTAATCAGCTCTGTGTACAACTTGAATGATACAGTACAATACGAAATGTATACGTTTTAGTATAACATTGTACATAAAAATAAAGAAAATATAAAAATTTATATTTCATCGTGTATTTTTATTTCTCACGTAATATTCACGTTACGTTATTGTCAACCATTATTTTGTTTACTTCAATACGTGAGTAGTTTTGAGAATTAAATTATTTCTTAGATGGTTTTATTTTCTACGACTCTGTTTTGAATTTTCTACGTACGAGATATTATCTAATATACCTCTATAAAAGTCTCGTGTCACAGTTTTCGTTGCTATACTCCTCCGAAACGGCTTGACCGATTTTGATGAAATTTTTTCTGCTTATCCGATATCTATGAGAATCGGCCAACATTTATGTTTCATCCCCCTAAATGTTAGGGGTAGTCCACCCCTAAATTTTTTTCGAGATTGCGCGTATTAAGCTAGTAGTGGATAAATATGAGCTCAAACACAGGTGTACTCTCTGTAGGTACCCTTACTCTCGGACCCCGATGGAAAAGCAGACCGACACGACCGAAAAGAGGTCAGTCGCAGGACTACCTAAAGCCTTTACGTGCTTTCCGAAGCACAGGGTTCGAACACCGCCGAGCTTCCTGACTCTCAATAATGGTAATTTTACTCAGAACATAGTAAAATTGTCACTTTTTGGCCAGCACGGGATTGGAAACCGCGACACGTCGCACCGCAGCCGACCACCCAACCAGTACGCCAATCGTGCAGTCAATCTGTTAGTTATGATATAGTAGCTAGGACCAAAAATATATTTTAGGTAACTGACTAAAAATATATTTGTTTTATTATAATGATGGGCCGATATTAATTGACCACTATCGCACCTGTTGGTAAGCGATGATGTAGTCTACGATGTATTATGTACAACTATTTACTTACCTACCAAGTATGAAGTAGAAGAAGCATATTATAGTGGATACTGTCATAGGCCGCGGACGATATTGATAATAAATTAAAAGAGTAACGAATGGAGTCCCTTACTCGTTCTTCTACACTCGAATCGACATTTTGGAACGAGCGCCTAGCTTCACTGATGGACAGACTGACAGACTATTATATATTTCATATTTGTTGACGTTTCAAAAGAACCAAATTATGGTTTAATTGAAATAAATGCTTTTGAGTTTGAGTTTGAGTCTAAATTATTCTTCCAAGGAGTCAAACCGTAAGTTATACAAAGGAGTAATCCAGACGCTAGGATTTTCGTCTTTATACTAATGAATTCATACATAAACTATGTATGTTAGAAGTTGTTATACTTCTTGGTAAACATCCTAGCTCGTAACATACTAAAGAGGCTTAAGATGGCTAGTACTAGGGTACGAAACTGCTTTCTAAAATCGTAAACCGAGAAATGGTAATGTAAAATTTATCATTTTAGCATAATATATCAAATTGAAACGACATTAGGTTTATTATTTTCTGTTTATGTGACCTATTTTGAGTTTATTCCTGTTAAATGTTTAATTTAGGTATCCTATGAAGGAGCTTTTATGAATGGATGAAGTCTGATATTAGGTTTAGATCTAAATGGTGTTTTATGATAAAATTTTGATGGGAAGTAAGTACGTACTTAGATGAATATTATGAAATTATCTCAATAAATATAATGATAGGACTAGGATCCAGTAATTGCAGTATTTACTTGCGAAGTATCCATCTATCAGCAGTACTTTATTTTGTTTTTAGTACATTTTTGTAATCCTGTTCTCATTTTTTATGGAATTAGCCAGTAAACGAGCAGACGGATCACCTGATGGTAAGCAATCGGCGTCTCCCATGGACATCCGAAACATCTGAGGTGTTACAAGTACGTTAACGGCTTTTTAGGGATTAGGAATTTGAGGATTATTGGGGATTCGTGGATTGGGGAGATTGGGGACGGGGATAATTGGGTCTCCAGTAACCTTACTTACACGACGGAACTGTGTCACAGTCGGTTTTCTGTGCGGCCGTGGTATCACTACGGTCAAACTGATTCGTGCCGAAGCATCGCTCTCCCACACTTGTTCATAAAATAAGTGATCCAATACCAAACATACTCCTCACTCATCCTTTTGCAGTTTTGAAAGTTAATATTCGTCCTACTGTTCCAGACTGAAGAAAATTTTATTTTGAACCATTTACTTCTGTGATTTTCACACAGATTAATTTCTTTTCACAAAAGTACTGGCTGAATATAAAGGTTGCAATGGCATGTGAAATAAAAAAAATAAGTTCATTAACCCGCCTTTTCGGTAGCCATCTTAGAATAAAACACAGACACACATCTATTCTTATTCTCTAGGTCCAAAGTTTATTTTTCACGACGTATTTTCTTCATTTTCAACTGTAAATGATAAAAACTTTACTTTCTTGGACATTTTAGGTGATTTGTTGAAAAAAGACGTGTGACCAGACTGTAAATGCAATGAATTTGTACAAACA